GTTGGAATAGGTACCCTGTAACGCTACTCGCTGAGATCTGTTGGAGAGGTAACTATGAAACCATCGTCTCAACTGGCTGGATATAGCAAAGCGCGAAAACTTGTTGACCAAGGCTAAGGGGGGCCTTTGCCGAATGCTTTGGCAAAGTCTAAATAGACCACATCAATCTCTTTGCCATCAGCTAAGACATCAATGACTTCGTGACAGACGAATCAAGGAACCAAGGTGATTTCACAAAAGTAAGTAAACTAATCTCACCGGTATTTGCGGCAGCTAGTTATTTTTTGGCCAAAAAATCCGTAGCCTCTTCAATTAGTGGAATGACCTCTTTCAGCTTTGCTACGCTAAGCGCTGGTGAGAACGTTGAGCGAATTCTCCTCCATTGCTCATCCTTGGCAATGGGCAGAAAGGCATTCATCGGTGGACTTACATCTGAAAACCCTCTGTTGCCAAACTGGAAAATTCTGTAATGGCAATCTGTTTGGTCTGGTTCTGAGTCCACGATAATCGATTGTCTTCCTAAGCGCATCTTGTATACTCGTCCGTTCAGTTGGTAATACTTTCATAGCATTTTATGCAAACCTCTTTATCTAATGACGTCGGGTAGACTGCCAGCATATGGCCATTGACGTAGTGCTGGTGTTGGAACAATTTTGAGGAGAGAGTAATTAGTTACACCTCGCCAATAAATCACAAGCGTAACAAGGGTTAGACAAGCTGTCCTTAATAGAATAATATCGTGTTAAAAGGCTCTACCGCTGAATATTAGCCCGTGAACAGGCTCTCTGCCTGGGGAAAGGGTCAAAAAATCGCAGGGAGAGGGAAGGCAAAGTGAGAGAGCCTGTAGACAAATATTTGAGGCCGTTGTTCCACAGCACCCGCTGTGCATCAGATCCTGATGCAAGCTCTTATTGGGGAGAACACTGACTGTTGATAGGTTTGATTTACATCGCTTTTTTTGTCGGCACGGAGCACGCGATTTGATTTAAATAATCGCTTGTAAACAGCACTTCTGATCTTAACATGACTTCTTCTGGCCCTTGACTGATAAACTTTCTTAAACCCTCCATAGTAGAATAAACTCATTGGAAAAAGCAGCATTTTGGCACGAGGTAAAGTTGTGTGTTGCCAGCCGACCACCATTTACACGCGAAATTGATTCCAATCTATCTAAGTGACTGATAACGACCTGGCTAACACTGATGATCGGTTCACAGGCTAGCTGAATATCCCCAATTGAACATGATCAAATCGATTTAAGCAAGAGACTGATGGTTAAAAGACAGTTAAAATCAGACAAACTCTGATTTAGATCCTACTCAGCGCAAATGAGTATTTAAGATGGGACTTGGAAGAAATCTGTACGCGACCCGAAATGATCCCCGACCCCAAATGAGCCACAAATTTTTTCACACGCGACCTGAAATGATCCCCGAGGAATTATAGGAGTGGAATGGGAAAACATTTCTAGCTCGGGGATAAGATTAAAGCGTTTTAATTCTGTTTTTCGGTTAATGCGAAATGCGAAGTTTTTCAGCTATAAACGCGAAATCTTTTCAGAATGGCTAATCGACTGCACAAAGTTATTTTCAGTTATATTAATTGCCTGGAATTTACTTTTTCGTAATAATGTAGTTACTGGTAGTCGGGTGTACAATCGGCGACAAAATTGTTGAGACATTGTACTTAAATAGGGTAACTTCGGAGAACAAAAGAATCCACACCCCTCCCCTGTCCCCTCCATTCAAAGTTGGGGTGTTTGTTGTTTTCTATAGGTAGCTAGCAGCTAGAACAAGGGCACAACATTGCACGGAGGGGGTGGGGGAGGAAAGCTATATTTCCTCCTTTTGAAGTTAATAAAGCGTAAAAAAGCCCAGTTTTGGGCGAAGTGTCTCAACTCATTTTGTCGCCGATTGTAGCTTCCATGTAGAAATAGCAGGGATGTCAAACATGTGCATAGAAAGCCATAAAAGATAGAATAAGCAATGCTTTTATTTTTTGTACTTTTTTTTCGACTTCCTCACATTCGCGAGCGCGAATACACGATGAGTAAATTTTCATAATGTAAGGCTGAAACTCAAACCGAGCACTGACAGCACTGTGCAACTGGCGAAAGCATTTACCGTATACAACATATATCTAGATTTATAATCAATGACACTGATTGAAAGCTACACCCTCGGCTCTAACCAGTGCCAATTGTTGTTGTTATTACAGTTTTGCCCGGGGGGCACTTGGGTATTTTTTGGGTGGGTATGTGTCGCCCGGGTCTCCAAATTGGCACCCCGTTCTAAAAAAAATTTCCTCTAAAATTGATACCCCGTTCTAGAAATGGGCCACTTTTTTATACCCCGTTCTAGAATTCGCCCTAAAACTGATACCCCGTTCTAGAAATGGGCCAATTTTTATACTCCGTTCTAGGGTGCAACAAGAGTATAACAGTTTTCTTGTTAACGCATTGAACCGTATTTTTAAAAGCAATCTGTCCTTGAATAATTTCAAATTAAATGGCTGCTTACAAAACTAGAGCTTTCGTGAGTTCCAAATATTATAAACGTTCTAGAAAACGCCTCTGAAATGGATACCCCGTTCTAAACCAGGAGCTTCAAAATCACGACCCCGTTGGGCGGCACATACCCGTATAGGTAATGTATGGGAGTACCCCGGGCAGTTTTGATCTTTCTACTGAATTATTTTATACAGTTCAGGTTATTAAGTTCCTGCATGTTAACCGACAGGTTAAGGTTTTCTATCGCCTTGCTGTTGTATTCAGTTGTTCTTGTTTATCACTAATTTCACGGTTGTTTATGTTCACTTTTTTCCCTTACAGAGGCGGAGAGTTTCATGTTACATATTGTTACAGTTCAGAAATTCTATAATTGACGGAAATAAACGGTTATGTAAATAAAACGTATGTTAATAAATACCGACAGGAAGCGAAGACTGTTACTTGTTACAGTAAGGCCCGGTGTAAACATCGCATTTCACATGTGCCAAATTTAATTCAGGTATTGAAGGCGTAGGGAGTTCGGCATTTAACTAAAATTAAATTCGACAACGCGACTTCTGTCGCATCTTCAACTGAGCCAGTCAAATCTCGACAGGAGTTCAACCGTTGTCTTTTGTGCCGAATCGAATTTTTAAATCATATTTAATTTATTATAACCCACAATTCTGAATTTTTTCCCAACTCTATTAAAACTCGCTCATGATTCGACGTCTAAAATGGCGGATTTACTTATTTAAGTAGAACCAAATAGGTATCAGACTCGGCACATGGGCCTAACGAGATGCTATTTGCACGATTAAACCTCCAATTTAAACTCTAAAGTTTCTTGCAAAATTTGTTAAAAAGGAGTAATAATTATTTAATAAATTGTCCAAAATATATAAATAAATCAACACTTCAAACAATTCGAGTCAAAATTCTTTAATTCACTTTATTCTAGTAATTCTTAGCCTGTGTACAGCCGCCCCTTCCCTCAAAAAAATCGGACTGGACAATTTTCTGAATTGAGCTATTCACTTCGTGAAGATTGTTCAAGAGCGCCCTTCGTTTCTTCAGCGCGCAAAGACAATTCCTACAAATGTACGTGGAATTGATTTCGACTTTACACTTCAAAGACAGCAGTTCCTCTCGAACTTTAAAAGAATTGCCCCTTCGACCATCAACAAGATTTTTATCCGTGTTTTTTACGATGTCTACGCCACAAAGAACGCACGAACTCATCGTCAAAATCTCACATCATATTATTGTCGCGGACGAAAGTGAAAGATTCTGTACGGAAGGCTCCGATTGCAAAGCGCGCGAAAATGCAAAGCGCGCGAAAATGAAAACCAATCAAATCTCGCTATTTCATCGATGTAATGATGTATGGGAAATAACCAATCAAATCATTTTCCACACATTCCTGAAAAAGTCACGTGGTCTTTGAACACGATTATCAACGGTAAATCACAGACGCTCCTTTCCGATTTTTTTGAGGGAAGGGGCGGCTGTACACAGGCTAGTAATTCTAGCATCTTCGGGAATTAAACGTCATCCCATTCCATTCCGATGATTCCTCGGGGTCGCGTGTGAAAAAATTTGGGGATCATTTGGGGTCGGGGATCATTTTGGGTCGTGTTTAGGTCGATTTTGGGGATCATTTGGGGTCGGGAATCATTTCGGGTCGCGTACAAATCTTACAATTCGTGACCTTTTTCGCTCTATTTGCGTATGTGCACACTTGAGCGGTTTTTTCTTTAGTGCTAGGGAGAGATGCAGGAAGCTCTTGATAGAGCTCTTGTCAGGTACCATCCTAAATATAGCTTGATTGATCGATTGGTAAGATTAAGCGTGTCCTGAACGAAAAGTTAGCAGAGAAGAAAATTAAGAAAATATCAATAAGATCATAAACAGAGATGAAAGACTAAACTCACTTACTATTGCACAACGGATCAGAGGCGGACGATCATTAGCGTGATCGCCTCTCTGACCGCCTCTCCCGCCTCTCTCGGTTCCATTGCTTCCGAATCATTAACATAACAACGCCTGTCTCCCAATTGGTTCATTGTTTCCAGGGGAAGCGATAAGATGGCCTATATCTGGAGGCCACTAAATATTTTGAGAACAAAAACTCAGGAATCATTTTAAAGGGAAATTTATGTTACTTATTATAAACGCGGCATGTTCTGTGCACAGTCCTTGTCTATTTAGAACGATAAGTCACGACAGTTAAGGTCCACTACGAATGACACTGATTTCCTGAGACGGACTTGATACGTGTGTTCAACTGACTCGTAGTCGTTTAACGGCTCAATACATCATGGTCCCTCGGCTTTCCTCAGTGGAAGGGCTTTGCAGTTCGTTATTATGGACAGCTTGTCTAAGTCTCCTTGCGTTCTTGTTCTGTTGGCGTGGTGTGGCTAGTTTCACCCTTCTCAAAGCTATTCCAATTCCAGGGCCTCGCCAGTAGCCATACATTGGAAATCTTCCCGATGTTATTAAATATGGAGGAATGCACTCGATGATGTGGGAATACTTTCAAAGGTATGGTCGAGTTTACAAGATGGGCTTCGGAAGACGACCGACGATCGTAATCACAGACCCAGAGATGATCAAACAGATCACCATTAAAGAATTCCCGAAGTTTCAAAACAGATGGTTTCCTGAAGTTAACCCGCCTATCATTTCGTTCCTGTTCATCGCTAAGGATGACCAGTGGAAGCGAATTCGCACAACGCTCTCACCGACGTTCAGCGCAACAAAATTAAAAGAAGTCATCCCATTAATGGAGGAAGCTTCGGATGTTTTGACTGGGAAACTCACAGAAGCCGCAAAAACAAGTGAGGATGGCAAATATGACTATTTTCCGGAATATTGTTTTTTGTTGGCTGCCAGTTTCGCAAACTCGCTTCTCTCAGTCTCGTTTAGCAGTGGTCAAGTCCTTCTTATGAGGAGTAAACGAAATTGATTGTAGAAAGGCAGTCTCCCACCCAGCCTCCGGCCAAATCGTGAATTTCCAGTGGCGGATCAGAGAGGGGGGCCGGGCTCCCCCCTTATTTTTAGACCAAACTGAGGCCCGAAGGGCCGAAAAAAAGTTTCTCGGAGACCGCCCCCCTTATCTAATGGTCTGGATGACCGCTGTCTTAAGGCCTTGGTGATATCATTTGTTCGAATTAGATATGTGCAAATATTTCACATTACTAAATGGTTAATCTACGGGCAAACAATATTTTCTTCCATTTTTGCTGTTACAAGTATGTACATCTAGACAAAAATTATACCAAAAGCTGTTGCGGTTTCGTAACTGGGATCCTCATACAGGGAAAACGCTAGAGCCCGCGGGGGGGGGACTGGCTATATAGGTATGTGCCGCTGTGAAGGGTATGGTTTTCAAGCAGTTTACTCTAGGATAGGGTATATAAATCAGAGCGCTTGGGTCTAAAATAGGGTATCATTTTCAGGAAACTGATCAGTTGGTTGAAGATTTTATCTAGACTAGGGATTGTGGTATAAGGTTTTGTTTTGGCTAGACTGTGCTAGTGACTTCAGTAGTTTCTGGAAAACAGCTACTCTAGGATAGGGGGGATTTGGGGAGTTTACTCTAGTACAGGGTAGCAAAATTTAGCTGAACTAGTTCTAGTAGAGGTTAAGGGTTTCAGGGTCCCGGTGGCACATCCCTACCCAGAAATTCCTAAAGTACCCCCCCGACCGGCGCTAGAGTTGAATAAGGGTCGGACGTCGAAAGTGGACGGGAGGGTGAATAGAGAAAAGGTAAGGGTTTCGCCCTGTTCCCTTCCCTCCCTCTCCGTCCCCTTTTGCGCGAGTGGTGAGCCAAGCGAGACACGACGGCATCAGAAAGAGGTTCACTGCGCGCGCGGAACTTTCAACTTTTCGAATTCGCAGGTTACTGGGACTCCTTTGCAGGCAGACACACGGATGGATGGATGGATGGATAGGTAGGTTAGATAGATCCACTATAAATAATGCATTTTCATTTTCTCACTATTACACCACTCATTTTGCAGGACACAGCACTGACGTCAACCCACTGTTTAGTTTATTTGCACTGGAAGTAATTCTATCCGCAGCATTTGGGATGCAAGCTGATATCCAAAGCAATCCAGACTCCGACACTGTTGAAAAGCCCAAAAACGTGTTCCGAACTCCGTTGTGGGTCCGCGCGTTTTCCATGTTCCCTTTTTCCGATTACTTCAGCAAAAAGTTAAATCTCAGTCCCCTTAATCACACCGACTACTTCATAAGAATAGCCCGAGTAATCTATGATGCCAGAAAAGCACAGAAAACGCCAAGTCGGAAGGATTTACTGCAACTGATGCTAGAAGCGCAGAAGCAACAGATAGAAGGGAAGAGGATGAGCGATGAAGAGATATCTGCACAGTCTGTCATCTTCATGGTAGCAGGATTTGAAACGACTGGAAGTACGCTATCTTATACATGGCGTATCTACTCGCTGCGCACCCAGAAGTCCAGGAAAAACTCCTCTAAGAACTCGACAAGGCTGTAAAAAACCGTGGGGACATGCCTTTGTACGACTTTGTTAACAGCCTGGATTATCTTGACCAGGTGTTTTGCGAAGTCTTACGGCTCTATACACCGGGGTATTTGGTCCAACGAAGATGCAACGAGGCCTGCACCATAAATGGCATCACAATTCCACAGAATGTAGACGCATCAGTCTGAAACTTCCATCAGTTGAACACGCAATTAAGCGCAAAATCTTTGACTGTCTTCAAGATAATGTTTGCTCCCCCTGTAAACGGTATTTTAAAAGATTTGATCATTCCAAGTCTACGAGAAACAATAGTTTTTCAGTAAAATTACCTAAAGTCCGCCTCGAATTTGGGAAAAATAGCTTTTACTATCAAAGAGCCAAGCTTTTTAATGAACTCCCAATAGCACGTCGATCCTTAACTTCCAGAGAATTTTATTTATGATCTATAAAATGTTCATCTTTTTTAATACAGTATAGTTGTAGTCTTTTAGCATTTTATCTTAGAGTCAAAGCTTATCCTATTTTTTATCTTTTATTTATTTATTCATATAATTTTTTCGGGACCCCATTGACAACAGTGTTTTCATACACTGATGGGGGATATTTTGTCCCGTTATAATATTCGCTTTTATTTACTTTTAACCCGGGCATTATAAACACCTGACTGCTATTTACGTCAATAGCCCAGCAAATAGAAATTCATGACAGTTAGATATATATTATTCGTACTTTTACTTTCGTTTTCTACTCTTCCAACAACGCACATATTAAGGGAAGAAAAAGAAACTTCCTAGCCTTTTTCAACTGCCTCGATTTATCACAACTTATTATGCTTTTTGCAGCCCCGGATGAAGGTCAGCTAGTACTTAGTTAGTAATTAAATTCCCCTATCTTTCAGCCCTTCTATTAGCTTGCATTTGTCATCTTCACTGTTTGTTTTTGGTTTTAATTAGTTGTTGGATGTACACCAAGATCCGACTTAAGTTCAAGGTCTTGCATCATTCAGCAGTTACCAATAAAGTTATCTACCTCTATCATAATCAAGAGTCCGTTTTGTGGGTATATTACATAGTATATTACATGGTAGCACTTTTTGCAAAATATTATGTGAAAGTAAGACAACTTAACAATACTGAAAGCATCAATTTACAGGATAGTTAACGAACTCGATTATCGAAAGAGTTGCGTTATTGTTTCTTTTACAGCTTTCCTCACTTCTGTGATCTTCCAGCAGTATAACAACGGATTTAAAGACGAGTTTAAATACACCAAAGTAATCGTAAATTCCCTAGCAAGGTAAGTAGATAAAGGCATCCCTTTTTGAGGTGTCAAAGCTACCACTATACAAGACGGCAGATAACAAACAACCAATGTTACCTGCACCCACAGTGCACTGTACACTGCCTTTCTGTATCGAGCTATGTTAAGTGGAATTGCTTGGCTAGGTTGTCCATTGGCAACATGGTTCTGGACATGAATTCGGTTCTGACGAAGAGAGAAGAAAATTTTGGTGTAAGAGAAGATTGTGGCGAGAAGACACAGAGCTATAACTATGTATTGATACCATGAAATTATAATAGCATTCAAAAAGATAGTAGATGCAACGACGATGGACAAAATCCAAAAACCAATTATAGTCATATATCCTGTTTTTAAGGTAACAATTTGTTTGTATCTGAGCCCCAGCAACAAGGCGAGAAGTCTGTCCACGCTTATTGCAGTCATTGTCAATAAAGACACTTGGCACAACGTATGACTTGAGAAACTCACTGCCCAATATGCGAAATAGCAAATATTCCATCTTTCGTCCACAACAGAAATCCAATACGTCACAGCCAAAGGCCCTACAATGATACCAACACAGAGATCAGATATCGCCAGGTTACGATACAGGAGTTTGGAAGGCGGATGAAGTGCAGTTTTCTTGTGAAGAGCAACTAGGATCAGAATGTTCCCCAAAAATGCTGCAATGGACAGAAAAATATTCAGTGCCGAAAGAAAGATAAGCTCGCCATCTACACCTCTGATTAATTCCGTCGAGCAGTACAATTTAACGATGACTGTTTTCTGGTCAGTTTCATAGTCAGAAAAATTAATCATTGTCATATTCCTCTGCGAGGCAAGAATCTGCACGGCATTGAGCGATGTGTTTATAGATCAGTACACTGTTTTCAAATACATAATAATATTTTTCTACCACCTCTTGCGAGTCAACTAATTACGCATCAGTCAATTCCAGCTGCGCTCAGCCCCCACCCCCGCGCTAACCCCGGACATTAGCATTTTTTGCCTTGGATGGCAAATTCCCGGGGGTGGGGACTCTTGAGCTGTCAAATCCCCCGGGGTGGGGAAGAAAAAATAGGGCAAATGCCCCGTCCTCCGTTAACACTGCAACATTTTTCATTGATCGCACAGTCGAGTACAGACGTAGTGCCATTTTAAGCATTTTAATGTGCGATTTTTGGTTTCAAATAACGTCTTCCTTTGTAATAGTGCTATTCTAATTGAGACACGCCGTGACGACACCAGTTTATGGTTTTCACACTACGTCATCGCCGCCATGCTGGTGGACGGATGCTGGTCCACCAGCATTTGTTGATTTCACCCTTGTTATTTGTGTCTCCCGAGATTGCGTGAAAACCACCTAATTGTCCTAATTATTGACATTAAAATTAATAGTGCGCTGTAAAGTTATAACAGTACTGCTATGAATAGTTTTATAAATATGAAAGGATATTCTTCAAATAATATCAATAGAAACTTAATTCAATAACCAAAAAAGCGTTGATTCACGTCGATAGCTCCCGAGTTTCGCTATGTAATTCTGGCTTGATAAGCAATGAAGAAGTGCATGCACAAAATCGAGAACATGCCTTTACAAACCTCTTCATTTTTTTCCCATCCTTGACAAATGAGCCAATCTGCTTGTTTTTCCAGTAAAATCCTCTGTGTAGTTATATTCTGATAAGATACCGCATGCGTGTCAAAAGCTCGGGGCTGGCCCCGAGGTTGGCAAATGCCCGGCCCCCGGGCAGTGCAAAATTTGCAAATACCACATCCCCGGGACTCACAAGGCGGGCAACTGCCCCGCTCCGCAGTAGCCCGGGGGGGTGGGAGGGGGGTGCTGGGCGCAGCTGGAATTGACTGCTGCATAATGCATATGGCGGGTATTTCGAGGTAATTTCTTTCTTAATTCTTCCTGTTTTTAATTTTCTCATCCTGTTTAACAAAAAAAAAAAAAACAAAAAAAAGGGCAGCTGAGTTATATTATGTTATTTTCACGCCTGCACCAGGCTTATCTACAAAGATGGGTGAAGCCGAACGCGTAAACTTAATTTCTCGATTTTGGCGAGACAGCATTTCGCAGGGTTTTATTTTCGCGATTTCAACAGGCAAATATGAACAAAGGATATTAAATTTCGCGATTGAAGTGTTCTCAACGTCACTTTAATGTTTGTAAAGTCGGATCATCTTTACTGACCAGTACGATACAAGGACATGAGAAAACCACCATCGAACAGGATAAATTAAAAATCTCTCTCCCTGCAATTTTATTAGAAACTGCGACAGCCATTTTTATCAAGTGAGATAACTGCCTTATCACAAAATTACAACAGTATTACAAAATACGACAAGTATTATTGCGTTGCGTTCGAGGTACGAGGACGCAACCTCTAATTTGTGTTGGGTGTTCTGTGCATTATTGGGTGTCCTGGGCAATTAATAAGGGAGGGTTTTTTCGAGATTGCATTCGTCGCCGTCGTCGTCGTCGACACACATTTGCCTCACTTTGAGGTAAATTAATTTTTTCTTTATTTTTATTAATTTTAATTCTAGTGAGCAGCATACATACACTTCCAGTGAACATTTTCATCTTGGAAGGAGGAGAAACCATGCTCGCCCAGGAGAAAGGAAATTTTCATGCCCCGGGCGAGAATCGAACTCGCGATAGTCTTTTAGCATTTTATCTTAGAGTCAAAGTTTATGGGGGGAGGGGGGGTAGAAACAGAGGGAGGGCCACAACTTTTTGAGACTCAGAAAAGGGAGGGGTCATGAAAAATGGGCCATTAAAAGGGGGAGGGTCATGCAAATATATGCTCGTGATCATGAAGAGTTAACCTTTAACCTTAACCTTTGCGATGCTGCGATTGCATTCATCAAAAGTCTCAAGTTGCCACCACTCTGTGACCACATTTTGCAAGCAACAGATGCTGGCCCAGGGGTTGGTGTCTCTAACATCGAAGTCAAGTACAGAGACGTTGAGATGCCAGGGATTAATAGCTGGACTCACATGAACAGGATTTACAGAGCACCCACACGATTCAGGACAAAACGAAGCAGAGCGTTCCAACGCTGCTATATGTAAAGCTTTGGTTGATGGTAGAGCATTACACTGGGAATACTTTGAACCAACCGGTCTCATTAGTGAAGAAGAATTGAAAACACTCACAGTTGAAGAAATGAAACAGCTAGAGGCAGAAGTAGTGGAACGTAATGCATGGAGAGTGGCCCAGAATTTTGTGTCAAGAATCGATGGCGAGCCTGGACCAGCTGATGACTGTATGAAGGCATTTGTTACTAATCGTAAAGAGCAGCAGTTCTTTTTCAGTACCGAATATATTCAGCAATACAATGCTGCAATGTCAGAGGCGAGAAAAGTAAAAGTCCCAGGACACAACTATTTCAAAAAATTAGATGACTTCATAGAATCGTGTATGATTACTGGAGAAATATTTCACGAGTACTGTGAAAATGAGTCAGTGGATCCCACCCCTCGTCCAGTTCCAGACATCAACAAACTTCCAAAGTATCACTGTCTGCCTAATGCAGAAACACCCATCACAAATACAGACGACAGTAAGAGAAGAGAAGTTGATGATTATCACGCAAGAGCACGTATGAAATCAATATCGAGGATCTTTTGCAACAGATATATTGTTGAAGAAAGTCTTGTGAAAAAATACCTAGAACATTTAAATCATTTAGAGATGATGAGTGATAAGAGAAAAATGGAAAAGAAAAAAAACAATTTGAAAGAGAACACAATGTCTTATTAGGAATTTGACTAGATGGAAATGCTGAACACGTGCAAAACAGCATGTATGTGCTCTGGACGAATACATCCATAAACATAATTTGCTTGTAGTGAAAGGTAATTAAAAACAAGCCCCAGAAAGTCAATGCTATTATGGATCACGTACGGTCATTGACTCACCCTAGTGTATTGCCAGAACTAGATTTTATCATACATACAAGAGGGGGAGGGTCATTATATTTTTAGGCCAAGCTCAAGGGGAGGGTTAGCAAAACTCCCATTACAGGGAATGGATGGGTCACATAATTTCCGAACCCAAATTTAAAATTCCTACCCTCCCTCCCTCTCCCCCTGCTAATTTCTGACAAGTCTCTTACCCTATTTTTTTATCTTCTATTTGTTTCTTCATTATTTTTTTTTCGGGACCCCATTGAGAATAGTGTTTTTATACACAGATGGGGGATATTTTATCCTGTTAAAATGTTCGCTTTTATTTACTTTTAACCCGGGTATTATAAACACCTGACTGCTATTTACGTCAATAGCCCAGCAAATAGAAATTCATGACAGTCAGATATATATTATTCGTATTTCTACTTTCGTTTTCTACTCTTCCAACAACGCACATACTAAGGGAAGAAAAAAAAGACTTCGTAGCCTTTTTCAACCGCCTCGATTTATCACAATTTATTATGCTTTTTGCAGCCCCGGATGAAGGTCAGTTAGTACTTAGTTAGTAATTAAATTCCCCTATCTTTCAGCCCTTCTATCAGCTTGCATTTGTCATCTTCACTGTTTGTTTTTGGTTTTAATTATTCTAAGTTGTTGCATGGGCCTAGCCTGCGTTGCAGACGGCCCACACACTCGTCTAAGCCATTTGTTTCGTCCTATACAGAGGGTTTAGAGCGTCTGCGATGCAGGCAACATGGGCCCGATCTACACCAAGATCCGACTTAACTTCGCGGCCGTTTGTCCAAGTGGTCTTGCATCATTCAGCAGTTACTAATAAAGTTACCTACCTCTATCATAATGAAGGGTCCGTTTTGTGGGTATATTACATAGTATATTACATGGTAGCACTTTTTGCAAAATATTATGTGAAAGTTAGCCGGATAACTTAATAATACTGAAAGCGTCAATGTACAGGATATATAGTTAACGAACTCGATCATCGAAAGAGTTGCCTAATTGTTTCTTTTACACCCTCCCTCACTTCTGTGATCTTCCAGCAGTATAACAACGGATTTAAAGACGAGTTTAAATACACCAAAGTAATCGTAAATTCCCTAGCAAGGTAAGTAGATAAAGGCATCCCTTTTTGAGGTGTCAAAGCTACCGCTATACAAGATGGCAGATAACAAACAACCAATGTTACCTGCACCCACAGTGCGCTGTACACTGCCTTTCTGTATCGAGCTATGTTAAGTGGAATTGCTTGGCTAGGTTGTCCATTGGCAACATGGTTCTGGACATGAATTCGGTTCTGACGAAGAGAGAAGAAAATTTTTGTGTAAGAGAAGATTGTGGCGAGAAGACACAGAGCTATAACTATGTATTGATACCATGAAATTATAATAGAATTTAAAAAGATAGTAGATGCAACGACGATGGACAAAATCCAAAAACTAATTACGGTTATATATCCTGTTTTTAAAGTAACAATTTGTCTGTATCTGAGCCCCAGTAACAAGGCGAGAAGTCTGTCCACGCTTATTGCAGTCAATGTCAATAAAGACACTGCGCACAACGTATGACTTGAGAAACTCACTGCCCAATATGCGAAATAGCAAATATTCCATCTTTCGCTCACAACAGAAATCCAATACGTCACAGCCAAAGGCCCTACAATGATACCAACACAGAGATCAGATATCGCTAGGCTACGAAACAGGAGTTTGGTAGGCGGATGAAGTGAAGTTTTCTTGTGAAGAGCAACTAGGATCAGAGTGTTGCCCAAAAATGCTGCAATGGACAGAAAAATATTCAGTGCCGAAAGAAAGATAAGCTCGCCATCTACACCTCTGATTAATTCCGCCGAGCAGTACAGTTCAACGATGACTGTTTTCTGGTCAGTTTCATATTCAGAAAAATTAATCATTGTCATATTCCTCCGCAAGGCAAGAATCTGCAGTGCATTGGGCGATGTGTTTATAGATCAATGTTTTCAAATACAGTTAAGGGTAATATTTTCCCGCCGCCTCTTGTAAGTCAACTAATTATATATGGCTGGGTATTTCGTGGTAATTTCTTTCTTAACTCTTCCTGTTTTTATTTTTCTCATCCTGTTTAAAAAAAAAAAAAAAAAAAAAAAAGGGTGCAGCTGAATTATATTATGTTATTTTCACGCCCTCTCAAGACTTAGCTCCGGTACCTACAAAGTTAGGTGAAGCGAAACGCACAAACTTAATTTCTCGATTTTGGCGAGACAGTATTTCTCCGGGTTTTATTTTCGCGATTTCAACAGGCAAATATATACAAGGGGAATTAAATTTCGCGATTCAAGTGTTCTCAACGTCACTTTAATGTTTGTAAAGTCTGAACTTTTTTTTACAGTTCTAGATAAAGTGGAACAAGCAAAACGCATATTTATCGACTCCATACGTGTAATATTTGCACCTTTCACAACAGAAAGCTACAGAAGATACAAAATGCAACTTAGGGGCTGTTTATATGGAGGCAGGAAGATCCTAGAAGGCGGATCATCCTTACCAGTACGATACAAAGACATGAGAAAACCTCCGTCGAACAGGATAAATTAAAAATCCCTCTCCCTGCAATTTTATTAGAAAGTGCGACAGCCATTTTTATCAAGTGAGATAGCTACCTTATTACAAAATTACAACAGTATTACAAAATGCGACGAGTATTATTATAAAAGGCGACAATATACTGAACTGCCGACGACTTTACAGCTATATTAGTTGACAATTATTTTTACACGTTATTAGAACTAAATGCAAAGGGTATTATAAAATGCGATGATTATTGCAAGGCGACAGAACGAAGACTAGTTATGTTATTTCACGCTTTTCGTGCATAGTGTCTCGTGCAGAGTACTGCAGACGTTCTTGAGGGTTCGTCACGCGTGGGGCGGGAACGCGTGACGAATCCCTAAGAACGTCTGCGTGGGGGGCTATTTCTTGTATGGGTCCTATTTTAAAGTTGGTCAGTCGTTAGTCTATTCTCACATGTAGTTAATTTACTGACTTTCTCATTTACAGCCTTCGCAATAAAACGTATTGCTTTTGCGATAGTTTTTGCACTGTTTCTAATTTATTATACTGTGTTTCGTGACAAAAATTCTTCCTTTCTCCTCCACTCACCAAATATTCTATCCACAACACGGAGAATAATCTAACTTCGAATTTTCTTTTTATTTCATGGACTTCAGACTTCTTCCTCTTTTTTATGAGGAGGTATTAGTACCAAAGCCATCAATTTGAGCGCATTCAATCTCCATACCAAAGAAACAGGAGCGTTTAAGCTATAGCTCAGTGACAAACATTTTATGTCATCTCTTTATTTGGCTGTGTACAGAACCCCTTCCCCTCAGAAAAAATCGGAGAAGGAAGAAAGGGGAGTCTGTACTAGACTCGATTACCAGCCGCTGTTCGGCAGGGAGGATCAAAGATCGAACCCTGGAGACGGCGGAAATCGAGCCTAGGTCTGTGCACAGGCTATCTCTTTATAACCCTCATAAGCAATTGTTGTCTCTCTAAATAGACCTAAATATAACAGGTAAGAATGTTAAATTTTGTTTTGTTTCTATTTTATTTTTGTATTATTAGGTAGTTTACGTACAAATTCAAGCGAGTACATTGACCACAATTGAATGTAATCACCCTTAATCTCAATTATTTTTAGCCAACTGAATTAATGAAGGATGTCTTAATTATTTAGTCACACCTCTGCACCCCCGCACACCCCACGGGTTAGGGGGTGGAGCTGCAGCCAGGCAGCAAACTAGGCTCGGTCCGGTCTTTAGATTTCATTCAATCGAAAAATAACTGAATTTGTTTGGAGTCCTTGATTGAATAATATTTGGATGATTTTCCGAATGTCTTTATAGTAGAAAAATTAGGTGGAGAAACACTCTTTTTTTCTTTAAGAATATATTTTATAAGAAATTATCGAGGCGGAAATTCGCAAAATCTTAAGAATATGATAAGAATAAACTCAAGGCTGAAAAGGATATAATCTTGTGTGTTGGACATCTGTCAATACAATACAAGTATATGTTTTTAACGTAACCGTGAAATTGTTTCTTTCCATAGGCGAACGGGTTATTTTCTGCCAGGGGGGCGGTAAACCATTTGCCCAAAAAATTAGTGCAAGTTGCTCAAATTTTTACAAAACAGTCGAACAGAAACGAGGGCCGATGCAACAACATAGGCCGTAGTGGTATTTGAAAATGGCTCGATACAGTTTTTCAGAGTCAATACCTGCCAAGTTTGAGCATAAACTACCGGCGTCGCCATAAACAAACATTTGGAAAAATTGCCACCACAGTTGTATTAGATAAAGATGAAAATTTGTTGTGACCAGGGTTGCAATGACATAGGAGTTGTCATAGCAACGAAATGAATCCATTACCTATTATGCTTGCAGCAATATTTCTCCGTGGGAATCGATCACAGGAGCCTTTTCCTCCAATAGTCGCCTCGATGTTAGTGAAGTTAAAACGGAATCTGTAAGAGCGTTATCGAGATATTTTGGGATAAAGTTTTTATCGTTGGAAATACGGTAAAAAAAAAAGGAAATGTTATCTGTAGAAAACGATGCGCTTTTGACATGCAATTTCACCTCATAGTAGTTTCGATCTTATTAAAAAAGTGGTTGAAAGATCATGGAGATAGCTCCGGCCAATTACTACAAAGAAGGATTTGATTAGTATGTATCATGGCGCTCTTATTAGCGGTTTTGTAAACATTTCAGTCTACTTTAACAAATTAGTGAATAATTTTTAAACCGCTCGATAGATTTTTTTAAAAAAATAAGATTCCTCTCGTAATTAAAACTAAGAAATAGTCAGCCACTTCTTCACTTTCAGACCCACTGCTGATGCTATCTGCCATACACTGTTCTACGAGCGGAGATGATTCTAGAAAGTTTAATAGGCGGAAGTTTATTCTAATAAATTCACGAGTGGAAATAGCCCATTGCAGTACAGTGTCCAACAATAAAAAAAATCAGCATATGATACCTTTCCCTTATAACCATGCAGAAACTCGTCACGTGCTAGGCAGCCACTGTCTCGTGCCAATGTAACTGGATTATTACGCCGCTTTCAGGCAGGAGAAAATGGAAAATATTTATCTCTTTAAAAGAACAATAAAAACATGCAGACGTCTTTAAAAACTGGCTTTGCCCAAATTTTCTCGTGCCGCCCAAAAAATCTGAGTTGCCCAAAATTTGGGGGGGCTCCAGCACCCCTCGCCCGCCCGGCCCGTACGCCTATGTTTCTTTCTCTTAACAGCAAAACTAGCCGCCACCGCCGCCCCCCCTCCCTCCCTTCCACCTCTCCCCAAAAAAGAAAACATGGCCACCGCCATTACCTGCAATAAATTTATACCCCAATACATTCTAAAACAGAAAAGTGAGAGGCTGCAATTTAAGAATAATACAAGAATATTTTCAGCCTAAAATCGGACGAGAATATCCAGCCTGGGCCGGGAAAACAACATTCTTATAAAAAGAAAAGAGTGTATTACAAATTTTGGAGAATTGATAAAATATTGGATTTGGAGGTTGTTATATTAACAATTAAAATAAGAAGTGAATGATTAGTAGACAAATACCAAGATAAGGATGTCTTAACATTCAAAACATGCCAGACTTTCGGCGGGTTGTAATCTGACATGTCAGCCGTCTCTTCCCCAGCCCCCAACGGGAGGTCAGGCGAGAAAAAAATGGAGGAATCGTGGAATACGTGTAGTGTCGTTAGGAGGATCGGATCATCAGTAACTGAAAATGTTTAGAGACTGTGGTGGGTCTGGAGATATTAGATGGGTCTGGTCTGCGGTGTTCGTTGGAACGGTCTTGAAGTCGTCGTTTAGTTTCTCAGACTGTTTGAGGCAAAGCTGGTACTGTACCATTTAAATAACGTTTCTAGGGTTGGCTTGCATTAAAATGTGGCATTTCGTATGCAGGTTTGAAATGTTACAGCAATTTAAGCTATCACCCCCGGGCTAATGCGGGGCATTTGCCTGCCTTGTCAGTCCCGGGGGTGGGGCATTTGCAACTTTTGCACTGCCCGGGGGCTGGGCATTTGCCAACCATCGGGCCATTCCCGAGTTTTTGACACGCACGCGGTTTCCTATCAGAATGCAACTACACAGAAGGTTTTACTGGAAAAAAAAAGTAGATTGGCTCATCTTTCAAGGGCAGGAATAAATTTTAGAGGGTTGTAAAGGCATGTTCTTGATTTGACATGTATGTATGCATTTCTTCATTGCTTATCAAGCCAGAATTACGTAGCGAAATTGGAGCTATCGATGTGAATCAACGTTTTCTGGTTATTGAATCAAATTTCTGATGATATTATTTGAAGAACTTCCTTTCATATTTATAAAACTATTCATAACATATAACTTAACAGCACTCTGTTAATTTTAATGCCAATAATTTTATATCAAAAACTGGTGCATGTCGTCGCGGCGTGAAGTCTTAATTAGAATCCTAGCGCTATTACAAAGGAAAACGTTAATTGAAACAAAAAATCTCACATTTAAATGCTTAAAATGGCACTATTTGACTGTGCGATCAATGAAAAATGTTGCAATGTTAACGGAGGACGGGGCATTTGCCCTCTTTTTTCGTCCCCACCCGGGGGGATTTGACAGCTCAAGAGTCCCCACCTAACGTATTTTCATTTTCTCACTATTACACCACTCATTTTACAGGACACAGCACTATAAAAGTCAACCCACTGTTTAGTTTAACCGCGTGGAAAGTAATTCTATCCGCAGCATTTTGGATGCAAGCTAATATCCAAAGCAATTCAGACTTAGA